TGGAATAGTGATATAAATAGTCCAAGTACTATTTTTTATGAGAAATGTTGTCAGGTTCATTTTAATGATAAACAGTATGAAACACAATCCTCTCATTATTTGATTTTATCATTAAAAATACTATGCTCATTTTTTTTAAAGGATTGCATTTTCTTTTCTCTTGTTTAGAGAAGCAGGTTCAACAATGGTGAGGGTTTATTTTAGGTATGGGTGGTTCTAGACATTTGCACATATTTTTGTTATTCTTAGTTATGTTGTTACAATGAAAGTAACTATTCCTGTGCATGAGAAAGGGTTTGTTTATCATTCCGGTGTCTCATTTTATAATTACATTTAATCTTACCAAGAAATAATGTGTCACTTTCTGAACTGATCCTTCAAATTCTGACGTGAAAAGCCATTTTCAGTTGGCAACTTCTGAAGCCAGTGGCCTGTGACATTTAGATGGCACTCAGTCTTGTGTCACCATATCTGAGGGAGACAAAGAAAACAAGATACTGACATATGTGAGACTTTTAAAAAAAAATTCATACATTTTCCCTTCTTGCTCTTCTGCTTGTTGGTTTGTTTTTAATGATTCTTCAAAACATATGTGCTTCCTAGAAAATCTATCCCCACAGTGCCTTCCACTTTTATTATCCAAGTCGATTTTGATCCCTGGAGTATGACTGCTATCCATGACTGCTGTTGGATGGCTAAATATCTTTTGGAGTTTAGATTCTCTGTGCTCTGGGACAGCATCTTAACATCGTCACTGCTCTAAATGTAGCTGCTGAAAAAGTTCTAATTGTCCCTGAGGAACTAAGAACTAGTTTCTTTCCAAGGCAGAATATATAATGAAATCACAGTTTTTCATAAAATTTATTTTTAGTTTTTTATATAATGTACCTACAGAGTATAAAGTTAAGGTCCTTGTAATCAAGACTAAATCATATGAGCTTGTACATTCTGTATTTTCAAATACTCTTCTTCAGTTTGGAAAGTAATTTGTTCCAACTTGGTAGTTCTTATGTGGAATAAAATAGTGACATTTCTCTCCCCTAGGTCTGCTGTTCTCTGTGTATCTAACTCAATCAATTGGTTTTAATTGATCTAAAGAAAGTATCAAAGAAATAAGTTCTTTGAGTATTTTTTATACTATTTTCTGTTATTATATGATATATAAAATACATGTGCTTATTCAAAAGTTCACATAACATTTATATAATTCAGTAATATTTCTATTTGTGTATAGGTAAAATATACTTAGTTCTTAAATTGTGCATCAGATTTTTTCACTTACTAAATGTTTACTGAGTAATAAAGACATACATCCCATCAGATAGCTATAGGTTGGGCTGTTTGTTTTATCTTCAGCTTTAATTAGAGCCATGAGCCCAGCAAACATACCTTGTGCCAGGGAGTGTGTACTTAAGCAATTCAAGCACACTTCCACTGAGTTTCACCAAAGTAGAAAAGTTTGCATAAGCGAGTCAAAATTAGCAGGAACATGAAAGTGTAACATGAAGCAGTATATATTATCCAGCTAATTTTTCTTTGCTATTCTAAATGGTAGGAAGTATATAATTTGAGGCAAGACATATGTCTACATATACTATATTTTATACATTGAGTCATATTTTAAATGAATTAAGACATTTCACTACCTGGAAAATCACTCAGTAAATCCTTGTGAAATGTGAATAATTGCTCCATATTGTATCCTGGTGTTTTCAAAACTTCAATCATGTGTATACCACCTTCATAAGTTTTGTCATATTCATATACCATTTATACCAGTATTTCCTTAGTGTTGCTTGTAATATTGCTCCAAGTTTATATACAATTTCAGTATTGTACTATTCATATCATTTGCTGTCAATGGAAATAATCCAGAAATAAAAAATGCAGCCATTAAAATAAAGCATTTGCCTCTTACCACCTAAATACCACACCAGTGATGGCAGATATATCACGTGTTGGGAAACACTGTCCTGTACAACTGTAAAGTCAGACTTTCATAAATTGAATTTTCTTAAAATAAAGCACAATTTAGGTAGGTCGTAAACCTGGTGAGAGCAGGAATTATTTCTGGTTTGTGTATCATTGTTTCCCCAACCCTTAGCACTTGGCATATAACACGTATTCAATAAATATTGAAAGGTAAATGAATGAGTGGCATCTATTTGCATATTCATCCTTTAAAATACTACTTAATAGTAATAAATAATACAATAATGCTCACAGCTGTATGTGAAGGTACATTATGGCCAACATATGTTTGTATCCCCAGTCTCCAAACACTGATATACCGCATAGCATTTCGATTAAACTTTATTGGGTGTGTTTATTGCTCAAGGAAGGTTGCTGTGATGTCAATAAAAAGAAGTGGGGATGAGGCATTATAGGGGTGGGCCTGGTGATTGGAAAGAGCGACAAGAGAAAATGGTGAGGAGTAAAAATTGAAGTATATATCTGTATCGTGGGACCTGAGGTAGCCCAACAACTGTGTTGCAGGAAGAGAAAAAGGCTAAATTAAAGGGTAAACAGAGATATGAAAGTTGCTTCAGTGGAGAAGGCTCTGTTCCTTTAATGGTTACTGCCAAATCGCCAATGCAAATGACCAAACTCTTTTAAAAAAGAGGTAATCTAAACCTCCCCCTCATGGCCTTTTTCCAATAAACTCACTTTAAAGCTTAAATTCATGGACAAAGCTTTTGTCCATGCAACTAGGAAATGACATAACCAATTTGCTGGACCATTTGGGTTAGAAGAAAAGACCATGTAAAGCTGAAATGAACAGCATTTTCGTTTCATTTATAAACCAGAGGTTCATCAGTTAGGGAAGCCCCTGAAATACAAATAGGCTCAGTAAATTTATGAGGCCTTAGGAAATGGAAGCAGACTACATCAGCCATGTGTCAGGAAGTCAATGGTTAGCTGGTTTGGCCTCTAACGATTATTTTGACAATGGGAATTGCTGGCAGTAGTAACTGACTCTTCAGAAGGGGAAACAGAGGTAAGCCATTCATAATTCAGAAATAATGTTAAAATTTTGCAATGATATAAAATTTTATTTATTTATTTATTTATTTATTTATTTATTTATTTATTT